AATAACTAACATGAGGTGGGGGTTCCACAAATATCTCCATTTTCAAAAATGCGGGCACCTAGTACTGCAGGCAAAAGACAGTCTTCAGCTGGATGTGTCAAATGGATGTTCCATTTCGTCGTCCTCCTCAGTTCCCCAACATCACAAATGCCAATCTTCAGATAATTTGACTAATTCCGTGTGATATCAAGAAACAGTAGGAGATACTGGATACTACAAATGCTGTGGGCCCTGACAACATTTCAACTATAATACTAAGGACTTGAGCATTGGAACTAGCTGCACCCCTATCCAAGCTGTTCCAGAACAATTACAACACTGGCATCTAGCCAATAATGTGTAAAATTGTCCAGGTATGTTCTGTGTAAAATAAATACAATAAATCCAATCTGACTAATTATCACCCCATCGGCCTCCTTTTGATCATCAGCAAAGTGATGGAAGATGTGCTATCTAGCAACATTTACACAGCAATAACCCATGTCACTAACACTCAGTTTCAGTCCCATCAGGGCCACTCGGCTCCTACCCTTTATTGCAATCTTGGTTTAAACATGGACAAAAGAACTGAACTTGGGAGGGCAGTTTAGAGTGAGTGCCTTTGATATTAAGGCAGCATTTGACTAACTATGCCCTCAAGGGAGCCTAGCAAGACTTCAGTCAATGGGAATCAGGTGAAAAACTCTGCTGGTTCAAGTTATACCTAGTGCAATGGAAAATAGTAGTAGTAGTAGTTGTTGTTGTTGTTGGAAGGAAACCGCTTCAAATCCTGAATTCCTCAGGATATCATAGAACCCCTACAGTGTGGAAGCAGGCCATTTGGCTCATTGAGTCCACAGTGGCCCTCTGAACAGCAGCCTAGGTGCAACGATATTCAGCTGCTTCATCAATGGCTTTCCCTCCATCATCAAAGATGAATGCACAATGTTCCATATTATTTTTGACTCCTTAGATACTGAAGCAGTCATGTCAGTATGCACCAATACCTGGACAACATTGAGCCTTGGGCCGATAGGTGACAAATTTACATTTGTACCATACAAGTGCCAGCAATGACCATCTCCAGATTGGGAGAACTGTTTCCTCTTGACATTCAATGGCATTATGATTGCTGAATCCACCACTACCAAGTATCGTAGGGGTTGCCATTGAGCAGAAACTGAGTTGAATCAGCCATATAAATACTGTGGGTATAAGAGTGGGTTCAAGGCTAGAAATTCTAGGGAGCGTCTCCTGGACCTCAACTATTTTTAATGGCTCCATCTTCAAGTGCCATTTGTCTTCCTTTTAAATCTATTTTCATCACCTCTCCCTCAAAGAAAAACTCTTTGTATTTCTTCATTCTTGCAAACCAGTGCCCCATCTCCAGCCTTCCTTCCTGTCTGAAGTTCTTGCCTCCTGATTCTACACTCAGCTTTCCTAGAGCTCCATTTTCAATTCTCACCAGCTTTTCAGACAGAACCTAAATGGTTCTTATTAAAGTCAGAATTGACATCTGTGTGATTCTGACAAAAGTAAATGTTTGCTTCTCCTTCCTTACTGGGCTGCAGCCTTTGATGCAGCTGATACTCCTTCCTCATTCAATGTGTCTCTACTGTTAACCAGCTGGGTGCACGGCCCTCACTTAGTTCCATTCCTATCGAGGCAGAGTATCGTTTGTGATGGTTTTACTTCCCACTCCTGTACCTTTTTACCTCTGGCAATCCTAGATAGGATAAATCCATTTATCTTTCTTAATTCTAGTCATGATGCTGCCCACCAGCAACACCATCCAAGAATACCACCTTCGTTTTCACATGTAATCTAATTCATCTAACTCTATCGCACCTTTCTTGACTATTGCACTGTTACTGAATTGTCAGACTACTTACTTAATGACCAGTAGTGGATGTGCAGAAATTTCCTCCAACTAAATTAGGAACACTGAAGCTATCACCTTCGACCCCAAAATTCAAAATCCATTCCATAGTGACTAACTCTATCTCTCTCCTTGGCAGCAGTCTGAAACTAAACTGGTCAGTTCGTAACTGTGGTATAACATTCAGGCCAAACATAAGCTTTTGATGTAAGATTCATGCTTTCATTTAGGCTGCCTATTGGATCTTGGAGGAAGCTTGTATCAGCTTCAAAATTGACACCTACCTCTATTAAACCTCCTCCAACAATAAAACAGCACATCCAAGATACCCTTATCAATAGGAAAATTCTAGTGTATGGTCCTGAGAACATTTTACGTTTTTCTCACCACTCAGCAAAATTGGCACCAACAGTTATAAGGGAAAAAACCCCCAGCTAGTTAAGGGAAGTAGCCCTTTAAATGATACTACAATCCTTATTCACAAGTCACTTGCAGACTCTGCATTCCGTGTACATGAGTACGTGTGGCAATTAAGTGCTTTAGGTGTGTGAAGTCTTGCCCTGAACTTTACATTCTGATTTTAAAACAATTAATGTGCATGTTGCCAATTGTTATGGACTTCCGTTTTCAATTTGATGTGTGGTTTGTAATAGTTTAACAGTTGAAAAGCAAGTCTCGGAGGCTGAGGCAGTGTAGTAGCTCCCCGGAGACCCTGGAGCTGTCCAGCGTGCTGAAATTCAACATCTGTTAAAAACAAGGCAGCCAATTCCTTTGGGTGTAAAGGAGATCTTCAATTAGAAATGAAACAAACTAGTGTTACACTTTGTGTTTTTAATCCTGCATACCTTATACAATGCTGTTTTAGATATAGTCCAATAGAGATAATTATATTGTCATTAGTAAGCCATAGATAACAGTAATTAAAAAGTACAACATAGATTAAGGACATTTTACCTATACAGCTGTAGAATAGATTAAATTAAAAATTTTGGCATTCACTGCAAGTAATTGGCCCTGTCACTCAATTTTTCCCATTGGACTGTTTTAACTTTGATAGTGTTATTCCCAGATAGGCATTTAAAGTGTTTTTTAATCATTGTTTTTAGTACAGAGGAGCGTCCTATCTTAAAACTGACTTTGGGAGCCCTACAACAAACAGGTGGCTTTCCACAGTTCTATCAGACAAGCTGATAATGTGCTACATTAATATAAGTATATCACCGGTTTATAAGAAAATTCCACTAACTGTGTCTGGTGTATTTTCAATGTTTCCAAAGTATAGTTTCATCCAGTTACTCTGGTATGACACCTATTGGATTTTAAAAAAAGCTACACAGATTATGGAATGGGAGTAGACAAATTTACACTGGTAAGATTCAATGAAGAGTTGACAAACAGCTGTTCTTTGGTGCATTTGGTGTAATATGGAATACCCTGTGATTGTTTGAGAAACATTTGATGCCATTTGGCAATGACTTGAGGAGGTTCCTATCGGGAAATATAATGCCACCTCTTCCATGACACTGTTTTACTGCAATAGGCAATTGTGTAGAAATAGCATGCCAAACTGGCCTGATTCAAACCTCTTTCTCTCATCAACTCCTCTGCCAGATTTCAAAACATGACATAATTTAACCAGTAGGCATGGCATGTATTTGAACCTATAACATGCAGGTTGTCATGATCAACAATTTGTTGTTTAATTCATTTGTGGGATGTGGGTGTTGCTGGCTGGCCAGGATTTATTGCCTGTCCCTAATTGCCCCTGAGAATGTGGTAGTGAGCTGCATTCTTCAACCCACAGCAGGTGGACTGCAGTGGTTCACCAAAAATGTCATTAGGAATGGAATTCCAGGATTTTGACCCAGTGACAGTGAAGGATTTTGACCCAGTGACAAGTCAGGATGATGAGTGACTTGGAGGGGATCATACAGGTGTTGGTGTTCCCACATATCTGCTGCCTTTGTCCTTCTAAATGGAAGTGGTCATGTGTTTGGAAGATGCTCTCTGAGGGTCTTTGGTAAATTTCTGCAGTGTATCTTGTAGATAGTGCACACTGCTGCAACTGAGCATTGATGGTAGAGGGAGAGGATGCTTGTGAGTGCGGTGCCAATCAAGTGGACTGCTTTGTCCTGGATGGTGTCAAGCTTCTTGAGTGTTGTTAGAGCTACACCCATCCAGGCAAGTGAGGAGTATTCCATCATGCTGCTGACTTGTGCCTTGTGGACAGGGCAAAGGGAGTCAAGAAGTGAGTTACTCGCTGATTCCTAGCCTCTGACCTGCTCTTCTAACCACTTTATTTATGTGGCTAGTCCAGTTCTGCTTTGGCCAATGATAACCCCCTAGGATGTTGATAGTGGGGAAATCATGCCAGGCTAACAAAATCACATCTTAGTGTAATTTAATAAATCAATACCTAAAAGACCACAACATTTCAAACAGAGATAGTAAGAACTGCAGATGCTGGAGTCAGAGATAACACAGTGTGGAGCTGGAGCAGCACAGCAGGCCAGGCAGCATCAGGGGAGCAGGAAAGTTGATGTTTCGTGTCAGGGCCATTTCTGAAGAAGGGTGCCGACCCGAAACAACAACATTTCAAACAGTTCATTCTTTTCATTGTATGGCAACAAGTAATTGGGGCACAGTTTGATGATAGCTGGAACTTCTGTTATTTCCAATATCCACATTTTTCCTAAGTTTCCTGTAAGTTTTGATTTTATAAACTACTTTTAGTCTTTGAAATATTGCAGGGACCTCAAATCTGAAAGAGTTGTAAATTTCTTTGAATAGTGGCAGAAAAAGCATTTCTTATTCAATTTATTCCACAGGTGTCATGGATATTTTTTCTGAAGTCATTTTTGTTCCTTTTTTTAACATTTCTGCTTATGTTGAAAAATAGATCCAAATGGTCCAATTCACTAGCAGAATTCAAATTCCATTGGAAATCAAATATTATCTGTGAAGATAAGAAATTCTCCTAAGTGTAATTTTAGTTTAAAAAGGTTGCTTTGTGGAAAAATCCCGGGAAGTGTTGACTATGAAGACAAGATAATTCAACTTTACTCACATTTCCTCAAAATGTAGAGTTTTTTGGGGGAAGTATAAATATAACACTCTGAATGCTTTTCTTTTCTCCCACCAGACTCTCCAGTCAATCAATAGACTTCTGCTGCTTCTCCTCTCACTACCTAGTTGATTGTCTCCTTTACCTCCAGGTATGCTATTTCAATTCTTACTTCTGAATTTCAATTCAGATCATGATTGGGAAATAGTTTGCAAAAAAAAATCCAACAATAGGAAAATACCAGATATTTCAATTTATTACTAATATCTGTTTAATGATAACTAAATTATTATTGTTACATTTATCTTCCCAAATATTACATATTAAATATAGATAAAGTAAGGTTTTTTTAATTCATTCATGATATACGGTGTCATTGGCAGGACGAGCATTTATTGCCCATCCCTTCTTGCCCATGAGAAGGTGATGATAAACTGCATTCTTGAATTGCTGCAGTCCATATTGTGTAGTTATACCCACAGCATTGTTAGGGAGGAAGATTCATGACTTTAATCCAGTGACTTTGAAGGTATGGTGATATAGTGCCAATTACGGATGGTGAGTGGCTTCGATGGGAGCTTGCAAGTGATGGTGTCCCTATATTTTGTTTACTGTTCGTCTTCTATATGATAGTATTCATGGGTCTAGAAAGTGCTGTTTAAGGATCCTTTGTGATCTTTGTAGTGTAACTTGCATCTTGTTGGCAAAACTCAGTAGGCCTGGCAGCATCTGTGGGGAGGAAGCACAGTTAATGTTTTGAGTCTGGTGACTCTTCAGCAGAACTGATAGCGACTAGGAAAATGTGATATTTATGCAGGCCTGAATTTTTTCTATCCACCCTCAACAAACTCTGCCTTGCTGAGCTCGTCCTCACTTTGAACAACTTCTCCTTTAGCTCATCCCATTTTCTTCAGGTCAAAGGTATGGCCATGGGTACCTGGCATGGGCACCAGTTATGCCTGTCTCTTTGTAGGATACATGGAATGTTCCTTGTTCTGGTCCTACTCCAGCGCCCATCCAAATTCTTTCTCCAGTACCTCAATGACATCATCACTGCTACTTCCCTCTCTCACCTGGAATTGGAAATGTTTATCAATTTCACTTCCAATTATCACCTGGCTTTCACCTTTACCTGATCCATTATTGACTCCTCCCTTCCCTTCTCGACATCTCTGTTTCCATTTCTGGGGATAGGCTGGCCACTGATATCCATCGAGTATCACAGTTACCTGGATTGTACATCCTCACATCCTGCTTCTGTAAAGACTCTCTTCCATTCTCCCAGTTCCTCCATTGTGTCTGTCCCAATGATGCCACCTTCAGCAGGGTGAGATGTGAGACTCTGAAACATTCACCTCTTTCATCAACCAAGTATTCCCCAGCACTACGGTTGACAGAACCCTTAACAGTGTCCGACTTATCTCTTACACTTCAGTCATCACTCCATCTCTTCCCTCTCACAACAGTAATAGTGTTCCCCGGTCCTCACTTACTATCCCACCAGCCTCCACATCCAAAGGATCATAGCTACTTTTTAGTTCACCTCCAGCACCTTGCCATTACCAAATATATTTTCCCCTCTTGTCTGCAAGGATTATTCCCTCCGGGACACCCTGGCCCACTTCTCCGCCTCTTCGAACACCCCCCACATATCCATGCAATCATTTACTTCCTCCCTTCTCACTATCCAAGGCCCCAGACATACCTTCCAAGTGAAGCAGAGATTTATCTGCACTTCACTCAATCTAGTCCACTGTATTCACTACTCACAATGTGATCTCCTCTACAGACTGAATGACCGCTTTGCAGAACACCTACATGCTGTCTGTAAAAATAACCCCGAGGTTCCAGTTACCTGCTGCACCAACACATCAAAACACCACTGGGTTTCCTGGCCAACATTTCTCTCTCGGGCCTGCTGCAGTGTCCCAGTGAGCCTCAGTACAAGCTGGAAGAACAACATCTCATTTTCAGCTCGGGGATCCTGCAGTCTCTAGGATCAACATTGAGTTCAATAACTTTAGAGCCTGACTTCATCCTTCCATGTTTTTTTACCCACCCCCACACCCTGGTCCTGTTATGACATGGAAGGCTTTCAGCACAACCTGCCCATTCTCTCCTCCTCTCAGCTCTCATTATCACAGCTTCTTTCCTGTCTTGGCTTACTGTCAATAATCTCCTCATTTACCTCCTTCTTCATTTCCCTCTGGGCTCTGTCTCCACTTAGCTGCTCACCTCTCTCCAAACACCCCGAACCTTGTCTTCAGCATAATTACCACCCTTTCTGAACTGTCATTAGTTCTGATGAAGACTCACTGGACTTGAAATATTCGCTCGGTTTCTCTCCCCATAGAAGCTGCCAGACCTGCTGAGTTTTGCCAGCATTCTTTTGGTTTCAAACCTCCAGAATCTGCAGTTCTTTGTTTTATACAATTGTAGATGATACACACTGGTGTTACTAAGTATCAGTGGTGGATGTCTGTGGATATGGTGCCAATTAAACAAGTGCTTTGTCCTGGATGGTGTCAAGCACCTTGAGTATTGTTGGAGCTGCAGTCATCCAGGCAAGTAGTGAGTATTCCATCACACTCCTGACTTCTGCCACATAGATGATGACCAGGCCTTGGGAAGTCATGAAGCGTGTAACTCACAGCAGGTTTCTTACCCTTTGACCTGCTCATGTTGCTACTCTATTTGTATGGTTAGTCCAGTTGAGTTTTTGGCCAATGCTAAGCACCATGTGTTAATAATAGGAAATTCAGCAATGGTGATGCCATTGAATGTCAAGGTACAATGATTAGATTCTCTCGTTGGAGAGAATGCCTGGCATTTGTCTGTCGTGTTACTTATTGCTAGTTATCAGTTCAATCTTTTTTGTAGAGTCTTGTTGCACTTGGACATTGATTGACTCACTAACTGAGGAGCTGTAAATGGTGCTAAACAGTTTGCATGCCATCAGCAAACATCCTCACTTTTGACCCTATACAGTAATGGAGGAGGTTATTATAAATGTTTAAGCCAATGAACTCTTGTGGAGATATCCTAGGGCTGGGATAACCGATTTCCATCAACTAGAACTAGTTTTCTTTGTGCTGGGTATGGCCCAAACCAATGGAGAGCTTTCCCCTCACTCCCATTGATTCCAGTTTTGCTAGGGCTCCTTGATGCCACACTCAGTCAAATGCAACTTTGGTCTTAAGGGCAGTCTCTCTCACCTCACCTCCAGAATTCAGCTGTTTTGTCCATGTTTAAACCAAGGATGTAATGAGGTTAGGAGCTGAATGTCAATGTGCAGATTGTTGCTAAACAAGTGTTGCTTGGTAGTTCTGTAGATGATTGCTTCCATCATTTTACCGATGATCGAAATTAGACTGATGTGGTGTTAATTGGCTGGGTTGGATTTATCAACTTTTGTGTACCAGACATACTGAGGCAATTTTCCACATTTCATAGAACCCTTACTGTGTGGAAACAGGCCCTTCAAGCCAGCAACTCCACACTGACCCTCAGAGCATCCCACCTAGACCCACCCTGCAAAACTCATCTAATCTACACATCTTTGAACACTACCGGCAATTTAGTATGGCCAATCCACCTAAACTGCACATCTTTGGGCTGTGGGAGGAAGCCAGAGACACAGGGAGAACATGCAAACTCCACACAGACAGTCGCCTGAGGGTGGAATCGAACCCGGGTCCCTGGCGCTGTGAGGCAGCAGTGCTAACCACCGAGCCACTGTGCCACCCATCTCTGGGTGGATATTCATGTTGCAGTTGTAGTGGAGCACCTTGGTTAGGGACGCAGCACGTTCTGGAGGACATGTCTTCATTACTATTGCTAGAATATTTTAGGACTCAAAGCCTATGCAGTATTCAGTGCCGTCAGCCATTTCTTGATATCACATGGAGTGTATTGAATTAGCAGAAGACTGGCATCTGTGATGCTGGGGATCTTCAGAGAAGGTGAAGATGTATCATATACCCATAAATTCTGGCTGAAGATTGTTGCTAATGCTTCAGCCTTATTTTTTGCACAGATCTGCTGGGCTCCTCCATCATTGAGGATAATATTATTTGTGCAGTTTCCTCATCCAATGAGGTGTTTAAATGTCTTCCATCATTCATGACTGGATGTGGTAGGATTGCAGAGCTTAGATCTGATCTGTTGGTTGCAAAATTGCTTAGCCCTGTGATTACCTGATATTTATGCTGCTTGGTGTGCAAGGAGTACTGTGTTGTAACATTCCCAGGTTCACACTGCATTTCAAGGTGTGCCTGGTGCTGCTCCTGGCATGCCTCCTGTACTTTTCAAAAATGCATGTATTAAGTAAATTAATGTTAATGAATCTCCAACAGGAAAGAGCCTAATCACTTCCCCTAAGCATTCAATAAGGCATTATTGTTGTTAAATTTACTGCAACATAGAACTGTACAGCACAGGAACAGCCCATGATGTTTTGCTGCACATGATGCCAAATTAAACAAATCCCTTCTGCCTGCCCTTGGTCCATCTCTGCTCATTTCTTGCATATTCATGTGCTTATCTAAAAGTCTCCTAAATGCCCCTATCATATCTGCTTCCACCACAACCCATGGCAGCACGTTTCACACTCCTACCACTCTCTGTGTAAAAGACTTGCCCCTCCTGTAATGTGGCGACTAGAATTGAATGCAATACTCTAAGTGCGGCCTAACCAAAGTCTTATAAAGCTGCAACATGACATCCTGACTCATGTACTCAGTTCCAGGACCAATAAAAGCAAGCGTGCCATACACCTTCTTCACTACTGTATTAACTTGTGTGGCCACTTTCAGGGAGCTAATGACTTGAACTCCAAGATTCTTCTGTACATCAATGCTGTTCAGGGTCCTGCCATTGACTGTGTAATTTTCCTTAACATTTGATCCCCCAAAGTGCAACACCTCACACTTACACAGATTATACTTCATCTGCCATTTCTTTGCCCGTATCTGCAACTGATCTATATCCTGCTGTATCCTTTGACAACCTTCTACACTATCCACAACTCCATCGATCTTTGTATCGTCTGCAAATTTACCAACTCACCCAGCTACATTTTCATCCAAGTCATTTATATATATCACAAACAACAGAGGCCCCAGAATGGTTCCCTGTGGAACACCACTAGTCCCGGACCTCCAGCCTGGAAAACAACCTTCAGCCATTACCCTCTGCCTTGTATGGGCAAGCCAGTTCTGAATCCATACAGCCAAGTCACCGTGGATCCCATGAATCTTAATCTTCTGGATGAGCCTACCATGAGGGACTTTGTCAAAGGCCTTACTAAAATCTATGTAAATAACATCCACTGCTGTACCCTCATTGATCACCTTCATCACCTCCTCAAAAAATTCAGTCAAGTTAGTAAGCCATGACCTACCTTGCACAAAATCATGCTGACTATCCCTAATTAGGATATGCTTTTTCTAAATGCACACAAATTCTATCCCTAAGAATTCCCTCCAAAAGCTTCCCAACCACCGATGTGAGAGTTACCGGTCTATGGTTTTCTGGATTATCCCTAGTTCCCTTCTTGAACAGAGGAACAACATTAGCTACTTGCCATTCCTCTGGAATCTTTCCAGTGGCTAATGAGGATACAAAGATCTTGGTCAAGAACCCTGCAATCTCCTCTCTTGCCTCTCTCAATAGCCTGGGATAGATACCATCAGGCCCTGGTGACTTATCCGCCTTAATGCTCTTCAAGAGACCCGACACCACTTCTTTCTTGATCTGAAAATGCTTTAGCATATTAGCATGCTATTAAAGTATGCTATCAATGATACTACTGTCAATGTCATAGAAAAATCATCTTTTCTTTAAAACCTAACTGGATAATCCATTTTAATAATTTGGATAGAAGAGCAGGTCAGTGTTTGGGTATCCTGTGATCCTTAATGTACATCTATTGTAATCTCCTAAAGTAAGGCACTTTGTTAGTCAATATTCCCTTTTTGGTTCAGAGGTTTGCTGTGGTTGCCAACAACTCAAAACTCCTGTATTATTGTTTGCACACTATACCTTTATTTGACACTCAAAAAGACTCAATAAGACTTATGCTAACAAGTCCATGTGTGCAAGATTGCCTTGGCTTGTCTGAGAATTGAGATGGAGAAACTATTCTTTTCTCTCCTTCTGGCCTTTGAGTAGTTGACAGCCAGCTAGTTATCGTGTTGAGACACAGTTCCTTATGTCTTGCACAGTGCTTGCTACCCAAACAATGAGCTCCATATAGGGCAAACCTGCCTTCTCAGAGCTCAGTGACTGGCCAGTTCTGTCTTGTTAACCTCATTAACCTTTTATTGATCATCTTCAATTGCTGGTTCTCTGGTTTCCAGCCCTCACATGACTAACAAGACAATAATCTCATCTCCGCCAACTTCTCAGTTTCCAAGGAACTAGCCCGTATGGCATGTTTATTATACAGTCTTGCAGGTTTTTGTCCATTCACTTCCTTTAACAATAGCACAGTTATGCCAGATTAATCAAAAACACAGAATTGAAATCAAAGTAGTAATTAATGATCTCTTAAACTTCAATTATTGCAAACAAACTACAATGTTTAAAAGTTGATAGGATTAGTTGAACTCCACACTACAGGTTCAGCATGTGACAACACCCACCACCGTCTTTAGATGCTTGTTTCTTTGCCTCAGTTATTTGTTATTTATGTACATTACTTCCCCCCCACTTCACCAGGTGTCATACCATTCATGGTGACAATGTGAAAAGGGTTGGGAGGGTGTCACTTACACTGTTAGAGAGATAGCAAGAACTGCAGATGCTGGAGTCAGTCAATACAGTGTAGAGCTGGAGGAACACAGCAGGTCAGGCAGCATTAGAGGAGCAGGAAACTCAACGTTTCAGGCCTGGACCCTTCATCAGGACTGGGGAGGGGAAAGGAAACTGGGGAATAAATAGACGGAAGAGGGATGGGGCTAGGAGTGGGGGGGAAGGCAGGTGGGATGGCGATATGTGGATGCAAGTAGGTGTAGTGGGGATTGATCAGTGGGAAGAGTAGGGCGGATAAGTGAGGAAGGAGATGGACAAGTAGTGCCAGGTCAAGGAGACAGGAATGAGAGGGAGGGTTGAAAATGAGATGAGGCCGGGGGTGGGGAGATGTTGAAACTGGTAAATTCTATGTTTAGGCCATTGAGCTGTAGGCTCCTGAGATGGAATATGAGGTGTTGTTCCTTCAGTTTGTGGGTGGTGTCATTTGTGGCACTGGAGGAGGCCCAGGACAGACATGTCAACCAGGGAGTGGGAGGGGGCATTAAAATGGTTAGCAAACGGAAGGTGTTGTTGATTATGGCGTACGGAGTGAAGGTGCTCCACAAATTGGTCACCGAGTCTGAGCTTGGTCTCACATTGGGAGCAATGGATGCATTAGACCAGGTTGGAGGATGTACAGGTGAATCCCTGTCAGATTTGGAAAGCTTGTCTTGGGCCTTGGATGGAGGTGAGAGGGGAGGTGTAGGGGCAGGTGAGGTTGTTGACTTGCTCGCCAAGCTGGCTTGTTCTCGTTCAGACGTTTCATCACCGTGCTAGGTGACATCATCAGTGGAGCCTCCGATGAAGCGATGTTGTTCTACTCCGCTTGGAATTTCTACTGTCCGGTCTGTTACGGTAAGTTAGTGTCATTTCCGGTTTTGATCCGTGTGGGTTTATATATGGGGTCCATATATGTTTGTACACATAGAATTGGACCCCATATACAAACCCATACTGGTCAAAACCGGAATTGACAGGATTCACAGTAACAGACCGGACAGTATAAATTCCAAGTGGAGTAGAATAACATCGCTTCATCGGAGGCTCCACTGATGATGTCACCTAGCACGGTGATGAAAGTCTGAACGAGAACAAGCCAGCTCGGTGAGCAAGTCAACAACCTCACCCACAACCCGAGCTACAGATCTTTGCCAAAACTGTAGGGGCAGGTGTGGCACTTCCTGCAGTTGCAGGGAAAGGTATCGGGGGGTGGTGGAGCTAGTGGGGAGTGTGGAGTGGACGAGGGAGTCGTGGAGTGAGCATCTCTACGAATGGCAGATAGGGGTGGGGAGGGAAATATCTCCTTGGTGGTGGGGTCAGATTGTAGGTGGCGGAAGTGTTGGAGAATGATACGCTGGATATGGAGGTTGGTGGAGTGGTATGTGAGGACCAGGGGGACTCTGTCTTTATTTTTGTTGAGGTAAGAGGTTTTGAGGGCAGAAGTGCGGGAAACGCAAGAGATGTAGTTGAGGGCATTTTTGGTCAACAGAGGGGGGCAGTTGCAGTCCTTCAAGGAGAAGGACATCTGAGATGTCTGGGATTGGAACATTTCATCTTGGGAGCAGATGTGGCAGAGGTGGACGAACTGGGAGTAGGGGAGCGCATTCTTCAGGAGGGTGGATGAGAGGGGGTTAGTCAAGGTAGAAAGCCAGCAAAGGTAGCCCATCTACCCTCCCCCAAACCCATCCCTCTTCCCTCTATTTATTTCCCAGCTCCCTTCCCCCTCCCCAGTCCTGATGAAGGGTCCCAACCCAAAACGTCGACTCTCCCTACTCCTCTGATGCTGCCTGAACTGCTGTGTTCCTCCAGCTCCACACTGTATCGTTATTTACACCGTTACCTTGAGGAACAGAGGCAAGAGGCACATGGGATCACAAACGCCTATAAAATTCCTTCCAGATTCCACACCTTCCTGAGTGGGAACTATACCTTGTTCCATCATTACCACTGGGTCAAAATCCTAGAACTCACATTCTAACAACACTGTGCGTGTCCTGCACAACGGGGACTGCAGTCATTCAAGCAAAGTACCTCACCCGTTCCTTGTGTAGCGTAATTAGTCATGGGCAATAAATGTTGGTCAAGCTAGTAATACCCATGTTCTGTGGAAAAAAATAAAACAAACCCTTAGTTTTCTGCTTGTTGAGATCTAATTTCCATTCAATCAGTTTAACTGTCATGGTGTTTGGTCAAATTCTTCATTTTTAACACATTTCTTTTGTTGTATAGGTCCCTGATGGTCAGAATATAGCAAAAACAAAATCATTAATCATTAGCTGTTAACACTGAAAACTCCGATGCCAAATTGCCAAGTTTTTTGAGCGTGTCAATAAAAAACTGAATGCCAGAAGCTCAAACCCAGGGTTCCAAATTTAGAAGGTGTTTTTTACATCCTGGTTCAGTCTGTTCATTGAAGAAAGGCATCTAGGATTGGGGAAACGATGGATGATACTTACAGGGACAGGACTATCCTGATGAGGGGTGCGAAAGACATTGCCCAGGAAGTTAAGAGGCAAACAGCGAAGAAAGCCAACAAAGGAGCAGATCACACACATGACGAATACAACCAGACATCTTATGCCAATTTTCAAAATGATGAACATTACAACTACCGTGGAGAGAGTTATGGAGAGGAACCTCATGAAGATGAAGGATCAAGTGATGCTACCGAAGGCCACGATGAAGAGGATGAAATCTATGAAGGTGAATACCAGGGAATCCCAGATATGGGCCAAAGGAAGGAAAACCAACTAGCCATAGGACAGCCTGTCTCAGATGAGTACAAGGATCGCGAGGAACTGGATGCTGAGAGGAGGGCTGATGAGGAGGAGCTGGCACAACAGTACGAGGTGATCATTCAGGAGTGTGGGCATGGCCGCTTCCAGTGGGCACTGTTCTTTGTGCTTGGATTGTCTCTCATGGCTGACGGTGTGGAGGTGTTTGTGGTGGGCTTTGTCCTGCCAAGTGCCGAAACAGATATGTGCGTAGAAAACTCCACTACAGGATGGCTGGGTGAGTAACTAAGTTGATTTGCATTCCTTATATTCTGTTCCTTCCTTTATCAAGAGCAAAGCTGTACTTCACTGTATTTTACAAACTCTTGTTCATTTTTTTTTCATTTTGACAATGCCATTCTCATTATTAAACTGTTTGACAAAAGTATACAAGAAAGTGTAAAATGTGATAGTACTTTTTGGTGAGAAATCCAACCATCAAAGAAAACTCAGAGAATATATTACATTGCTATAACTCGACAGGTGATTTCCTGCTACCATCTGGTTAAGTGATGTGCATTCATTTCTTTAAAAAAAACAGCCAAATGAAATTGTTGTTGAAGAAATATTTTGAATCTCTTTTAAACAGTGATCATTTTTGAGAGACTTTTGTAAGATATACAAAACTAAATGATGATCAAAGGGACAATTCCATGAGGCGCGGACAAGTTCAGTGTCCCCTTTCTAACAAATTGGACAGTGTTTTCAGAGTATATATGTTTGAAAAGAATTTCAACATTTAAAAATGAATTACTTCACATTGAGATAACATTTAGCTGTCGAGTGGATACATATGGCACCAATAGTTTTTATAAAACATATTTAAGGTATAAGACCAGGCTTACTGAGTAAATCAACGCAAGCTATGGTTGTACAAATTGCATTTGTCTCTTAATAATGGAAGGAGGCCATTTTCCACCATATAATGAGGAGAGAAAAGTTGCACTGTTAATACAGTGGAAAGATCCATTGATGGGGATAAGTGTAACCTTCTGCAAGAGCAGCTATCATACATAGGGATAAATCTGCTCAGAAAATCCGACCTACTAACTGTTCCGAGTTCGAATCATTTGATATTTTTGTTGAAGTATTGTCAGATAAATACTGGCTGTTATTACCATGCTAAATCTATACAGGAAATTATTTGGTAGGATCAGGTTGGCTTAGAAGTATTGCTGTAGTCCCCAAGACCAAAGGGTCTCTGTCCTACTCCAGTATTTGAGTTGCACTCTAGGCTGTCACTTGAATACAGAAGTGTCAAGATACTGCATTACTGGGGATACAATTTTTTGGATGAAACTTTAAACCAAAACTCAGACTGCTTGTTTTGATATATATTATATATGTTTATATAATATATATACAGATCTGATGACAATGTTTGAATATGACCCCGGCCAAGATTTATCCCTTGGCTATTATCACGAAGACACAATATCACATTGCTGTTCATGAAACCTTGCTGTGCACAAACTGAAACTGAACAGAAACCAAACTGTACTAGGTTTAGAAACGTAGAAACTATATTTTTAAGTTTTTAAGTCTATCTTATATTTCTATAATAATAATCCAAAAGGGAGAAAATTGTTTACTCATGGAATAATTGAATATGGAACTTGAAACCACATGGATTACTTAATGTGAATACAATAGATGCATAGATGATGTATATGGGGGAATGAGTAATAGAAGGACATACCTTTAGGAGTAAATGAATAGGAAGGGATGAAGCTTGTGTGAAATATCCATACAGGACAGACTAATTGGTCTCATTTGGTCCATGTTTATTCTGTAATTTCTGTGTAATTTACAATTTATATTGTTGTCTCAGGCTTGATACGCTATTTTGTGGCATCAACAACTTTTGCTCTTGATGCCTCCTTTTGGTAAATAGTGAATGGACACTGAATACAATGGTACTGAGGACTGAATTCTCAGGCAAACTATTTAGAATTGATAGCGGGAGCTACAATGCTGAGAGGGAGTCTGTGGCAGGGGTCGACTCAAAGAAGGCCACCCTTTGTTGAGTGGGCATGGCAACGGCATGACTCCGAGAGCTAGGGTTTTCCTCTCTCTTGACCTGGCAGAATAACAGCAGCTGTTACACATTTGAATGAGACATATTGGCAGATGAAAATGCACATGGAGGCCTAGACTGGAGTCATTGCCTACAGTTTCGAAAAAACAGCAATCTCTTGGGTCAGTTGTTCCCCTTCTGAACAGGGTCAGATTTCAAATTATGGCATGGTTGCTGCTGCCTTCTTAATGCAAAACTTAAATGACAACATATATTAATGTATCTCTTAAAATAAATGCATTGTCCAATCCAGTGTTGAAAATACATCTCACACAACAGACTGTAACATATCCAAGAGTCAAAGGCAATGTATTATAAAAGGAGGACAAAATGAAGCTGAACCAAGTTAGCACATATCAGACCCCATAAAAACCATTGGAATCCTAAAAATGTAAATATCTGGATTGGATTTAGACTAATTTCTACTATTTGTTCACAAGAGGATAGTTGGTCAAAGGTGTTGCATCAAGCCAGACCAACAAATATAGGTTATGATCCTGATGACAGCATCAAATTATCTTCTGATCTCAGAGGAGATCAGACACGACTACCAACTTTTTGTCACATTTATCTTGCCAACTTTATCCAGTTGTGGACTAGCAACTTCCATTTTGTTTGAAAGTAGACAAAATGTACACTTAGAAAATAAAGCCCAAGATTCCATAGTTTTTCACAAAACAATAAAGATACAAGCTGGAACATAATACGATTCATATACACCAAATCTCAGAATTAGTATATTAGCAAAGTTTACCACATGTTATGAACAACACCCGACAGCACACATTACACAGTGATTAAAATCAAAAAAGAGCCCATTGATTTTTCAGCAGTTCCAGCTCAGGCATTATTAGTCTACTGGACATGTCAAGTCTGTTTGTATCTCCACAGATGCTGCCAAACCTCCTGAGTTCCTCCAGCACTTCCTGCTTTAATTTTGGTCATGGATTGTCTTATGGAATGACTTATCCTACTCTAGTTGATCATACTCCTATCCTGAGGCCATGTCTTCCTGTCTTCCAGTACTATTCATGCACAACTCCAACTTTTCTTCGATAGCTAGGTTCACCAAGCTAGACCATTCCTTGAGCTTTTCCTGAAATCCCGACTTGGTCAGCTCTCTCAAACAGACATTACTTGTTGCTTTTCAATCCTTACTCTCAGCTGCATTCAGTGACAGCCATCTTCTTGCGAGCGATCATAACTTCCAAGACTTTTTCTAAACTGTGATTGCAGCATCTAGCTGGAATATTAGCCTTTATTGCAATAGGATTTGAGTACAGGAGTAGTGAAGTCTTGCTTCAGTTGTATATAAGCTGGCTTGGAGTGCACTTGGAGTACTGTCTTAGGTTTATCTCCTTATCTCAGGAAAATTATGATTGTCATTAAAGGAGTGCAACAAAAGTTCGCCAGACTGGTTTCCAGGATGGCAGCACTGTTCTGATTGATTGGGTAAACTGGCTGTATTCTCCAGAGTTTTGAAATGACATGTGATTTCTGTAAAACTTACAAAATACTTAAAGGGATAGACAAGGTAGATTCAGGTAAAATGTTTCTCCTGGCTGTGGAGTCTAGAACCATGAGGCAGAATTTAAAAATAAGGGGGATGCCACTTCAGTCTGAGATGAAGATGATTTTTTTTTACTCAGAGATTTGTGAACCTTTGGAGTTCTGTATTCTAGAGGGCTGTTGAATCTTAGTCTTTGAGTATGTTTAGGTAGAGATTGATGGATTTCTGATCACCAGTTTTGTACAGGAATGGAGTGGGTAAAAGACATTGAAGTGTTCAGTCACAGTTGTATTGAATAGTGGAGCAGGCTTGATGGACTGTTTGGACTACTCCTGTTCCTATGTTCCTATAAATATCTTCATAACTGAAGTGCCTCACCCTTGAAACCATTCTTGTAAATGTTTTCTGCACTGTCTCTAGAGCCATAACTAAAGTCTGGTGCTAAGAATTGAGTAGAATATTCCAGTTGAGGCCAAACTAGTTTTTTTTTCTAAAGTTTGGTCAAACTTCTTTTTTTACTGTATCCTCCTATTTACAACACCCAGAGCACTGTGTACAGTTTTGGTCTTTTTATTTAGAAAGAAGTATATAAATGCATTAGAAGCTGTTCAGCAGCCCTGGAACAGGAGTGGGGGTTATCTTATTGAAGGAAGGTTGGACAGGCTTAACTTGTAAACATTGGAAATTTGAAGAAAGATTGATTTTATTGTTGTCACCTGTACCAAGATACAGTGAAAAGTGTTTTGTGTGCTATACAGGAAGATCGTACCATACAAAGTGCATCAGGGTAGCAGAACAGAGTGGAGAATACAGTGTTACAGCCTCAGAGAAGGTGCAGAGAGAGATCAGAATTAACATTTGAGAGATCTGTGCAGACGTTTGATAACAGTCGGGGGAGAAGCTGTTCTTTAATCTATTTGTACACGTATTCAATATTTTATATCTTCTGCCCAATGGAAGCGGCGGCAGAGAGTATAACCGGCGTGGGTGGGATCTTTGATTATGTTGGTTGCTTTCCTGAGGCAGTGAGAAGTATAGATGGAGTCAATGGATGGAAGGCTGGTTTGCGTGATGGACTTGACTGTGTTCACAACTGTAGTTTCTTGTGGTCTTGGGAAGAGCAGTTGCCATACCACACTGTGACGTATCCAGATAGATGATCTTATTGGAACATGCAAGATCCTGAGGGAGTTTGACAGAGTGGGCGCTGAAATGAGTGCTTTTCCCATGCGAGGGCCTAAAACTAAGGAACAGAGGTTTAAATAGAGTGTTACTCATTTAAAATGGAGACAAGGAGATTTTTTTTCTCTGAAGGTTAAGAGTCTATGGAACTCTTCAGCACACAGCAGTGGATGCAAGGTCATTGAAAATATTTTTACCAAGGTGGTAGATAAATAATTGACTGTCAATGGAGACAGAAGTTATTAGGGGTAACTGGGAATGTGGAGTTGAAGCAGCAATGAGACCAACCATGATCTTCTTAAATGCTGCAACAGGCTCAAGGAGCTGAATGGCCTAATCCTGCTGCTAATAGTATTACTCAATATTCCTTGTTTAATGGTTTACTAAAGTTATGAAATTGTTATTAAGATTATTTTAGCACAAAATTTGCATTCTGTTTCGTTTACTTATTAAGATCCTATTTGCTGGG